GCTCTCACAATTGCTTATACTTGGAACTCCTGGAAGTGTCAGTGAAGAGGCATGGAATCCATTATATTCAGTAGGTTGACAACACTCATTCGTATGCAGAGCCATCCCTTGTGGGGTGGGGGGGGTGGTGCAAATCAGGGCAACCAACCCAGGCCCTGTGCTTTGGGGGGGTCCTGCAGAGCCAGGCAGAGAGGCCACAGCCCCTCCCACATTTGGCAGTGGCTGCTGCATTTAAGGTTTTTCCCGCTCCCCGCCCCAAATGGTGAGAATTCCTTTAAGTGTGTTCCAGCCAGAAATTCTGGCCTCCACCCCTCTCCCTGAATCTGGTGTGCCCATGATGTTCATTTACCCATGTAAGTGAGCCATTAGGACAGGAAAGGTTGGGAAATGCTGCCCCAGTCTATGCCCTGCCTTTGTGGTGGTTCCATGGGTCCTGCATGGTGTTAAGGGGGCCCCACACAGGCTTAATTACCCCCAGTCCCGCACCCCTCTAGGACAGTTGTGTTCATATGTCCCTGTCTTGCTGATTCAGGTATGTAGTGCAATCACAGCTAAGAACAAGATAGCTTGAGTACACTCCAGATAAAGTAGAGCTGAACATGGCAGCTAGTGGAAGCAGAACATGGAGATTATAGAAATAATAACAATCCCTGTGAAAGAGTATGTTCATCATTATTTATCACATGATGGCAGCTGTAACACATGATCTCATAATTTCAAGGTTTAACTATCCTTCCATTTTATTAGCAAGTTTGATCCATTGCTTGCAACTAGTTCAGAAATTTCCGAACTGTAAGAATGTGGCTGGGCACCTGGGGTGAATGCCACACACAGAGGCAGCAGCAACTTCCAGTTTCTGTAATCACAATCATGAAGGTGCAGCAAAAGCCAGGTTTTCCTCCCCACAATCCAGTTGGTGCTCTATTACCCCTGCCCGAGTTATACCACACTCCAGAATACAGCAATTTGATTACTCAGGGACTCAAGCTTCCATAGAATTGTACAAAATATGGTTTGTATCTTGTGTCCAGAATATGGAATCAGAATATGATCCATGCTCCTATTCACCCTGCTTTACACTCTGTATATTGTCTGCCCTCTACATTAAGCAGCTAATTCAGCTTCACTTTATGATAACTTTTTCGGGTGCTCTGGATGAAGCTGACCTTAGTTATAATCCAGACGGTCTTCCCTCTGAAGGGTTTTTGTGCTCATACACCACCTAGGCTAGGGACAGACATTACACATAAATTGGTTTAAGTGATCAGAAACTAGTTTAACTGGTAACAGAACAGATGTTCAGTGCACATAAATTTGAAAATGGCTGAAACCAGTTTGAGATCAACCTGGTTGAATGTAGTATCAGACTTAACTGATTTGGGTCAAACCAGTTTATGCAATGTCTGTCCCAGACCCCTTCCTGGTTTAAGCTAAACCAGAGTCCCACAGCATCCTGGCATACTCTCTGGACTGGGCAGGGCTCTCTGCTCCACAGCAGAGCTGGCCCTTCCCCTCTGCTCCCTGGCTGGAGCTTGGCAGAGACTGCACGCATCTGCCTGGATTCCCCTTGCTCCCTGCCCCCTTCCCTCACCACTCCCTGCTAAGCAGTGATTCCCCCCTTCTCTGCCTAACACAGACACCACTCAGCATTAGCTAGTATACCACATTCTGGCTATGGTCAGTGCTGTGGGAGACCAGTTCCTTCCTTGGAAAAGCTGTTTAAGAAGAGCTTGAACTAATAGAGAGACTTTGTTTTCTGATGGGCTGATAAACACTGAGTTAGGAGTGATAAACACTGTTATCAACTGCCTGCTGGGCTGCTCAGGGTTGGGGGCGGGGGGGACCCCTCCCTAATCAGAGCATCCCCAGGGGCCACGCCCCCTCAGCTCAGCACTGTGGAAGGGAAGGGAGGACTGTCGTAGTGCCTCCCCACCCCCCCACCCCCAGCTTCTAGCTTAAGCCAGTGCAGGCACATGACTGCATTTCTGGGATGTTGGTACAGTTACAAACCGGTTTAGCCTAGCCAGGTTAGACTAACCTGAAAAGATTGAATCAATTCAAGCTCAGGCTTGTTGAATGTCTGTCTTCAGCCCTAGTATTTAACTAGTAGATAATTAAGCTTTTGCTGTGGAACTAGCTCACCCCCAAAGTTTAGCTCATTTGATCTTCATCTGTTTTAAAAAGCACTAAAACCTGTTTTTCTTTTTCAGAAGTGTTTTTAAATTGATACTGCTCTTCTGGTTTAGTTATCTCTAATTTTGCTTAGGTTGGGGAGGGTGTGTTTCATAATTGTTGTCCAGTGGCCTGAGCACTTTTGCCAGCAGGGGTGCTTTATAAAATGTTTTAACTTATATGATATGATATGATATATGTTGTTGTGTACACACACACACACTGACATGTATATATTATATTATAAGTTACCTGGATTCAGAATTTCAAGGTGATTTGCCACAACCGCCACCCCACCAGCTGCTCTTGAATAGTTATATGATAGTCCTTGTTTTCATCTACATCTGACTAGGGAGCCACAACCTTTTCTTTCAGATTCAGACCTTGATACTGTTATCCCAGCTTTTGTTACCTTGAGAACAGAACACTGTAGTGTGCAATGTGGTTTCCCCTTAAAACTGTTGAGAGACTGAAGCTGGATCCAAATACAATAGAACCCCTACTTACACATATATTGTGTTCCTGAGAAACCTTGCATATTGCAAATTCACGCAAGTCAAGGTGAATTTTCCCATAGGAAATAACAGAAAAGTGAGGGGTTGCGCTCCTTGGACCTCACATTTATGACACCAAAGGCACCAAATGCAACCTTTTCAATCAATACTTTATTTATTATGTTACAAAAACGTATTGTAAACATATTTATTCATTTACATTATAAGTAAAATAATAAAAAAATACAAAGTGGACATGCAACAATCTTCAATTTATCCATCAATGGGGAGCCGAGTCTTCATCCAGGTCAAACACATAAAAAGATGATGGTGATATCTCTCCCCCAGAAGTGGCTGGCTCTCCCCCAGAATTGGAGTGCTGAGAGTGAGTTGATTGTGTTAAGATAGTGCTGTCCTGCTTTCTGAAGAACTTGTCCAAGGAAGACTGCACTGAGCAGCGCTGCTTCTCCCTGTAAAGCTCTGTGTAGCGGGCATTGGCTTCCTTCATCAGCCTGGCAACCTTAGCAGTTCTTTCACAATTGGGGTCATTTTCATCAAAGAAGGCTAGGTAACCATCCAAAAGTTTGAACGCATCAGCTATGCCTTTCATGTGAGAACTCAGGGGGAGGGCCTTTCATTTTCTTCCATGGGTTCTTCTTCTTCATGGCACTCCCTATCCAGCTCAAGAAGATCCTCATTTGAGAGTTCCACCCAATGGGAATTGAGCAGCTCAGCCACGTTTTCCTCATCGACCTGCTCAAAGCCCGCAGTCTTAGCCATCTCGATGATCTCATGCCTTGCATCACCGATAAATTCATCAGCAGTAAAGCCTCAGAAATCATTCACAACAGCAGGGCAGATGTTTTTCCAGACACCATTAAGGCACTTCTGTGTAACATCATTCCAGGCATCTCCAATGATGTCTATGGCCATCTTGATGTTAAAATGCCTTCCAAAATTTTTTGACGTTTGCCTTTTCTTTTGACTCTGTCAAGGGCCACCTGCCTGTTTATTGGAGAGCCAACCAGAAAGGATGGGTTACTGGATCATTGTTTGAAGATTATTTTTCCGGTCTGCTGCATTTGGAATTGAGTGCTTATTGTGACAGGCAAAATCTGCCTTTCAAAATTCTACTGCTTCTTTATAATGCTCAGTTAGTTATGAGACTCCAATCCTGCAGATGTTTTTTTCAGCATGCCCTCCCTCTCCCTACAGTCATAGGACTAGGAGAGGAATCTCAGCTTTTAAAACATAAAATTGGAAGGGTCATCTCATCCAACCCTCTGTGCACTTAATCCAAGTGAAGGTACTTGAGATGAAATGGCATGGGGCATTGACAGGGAACTAGTGGGAGAGGGGTGGTAAAGTTGCCACAACACTGGAATTCCTGCCCAGACCAAAGAAAAAGACATAAAAGCCCCTGCCTCATGATTATGATCCCTACCAGGTTCCAGTTTATGTAAATTGGTACAAATCCAAATTTCTTGTCAGGTGACATTGGTAAGAATATATTTTTGTATATGTGCATATACATATGTTATGCTAATCTGTGTTTAAAATACTAAGATTTGTCTGTGCATTAAGCCATGATGCTATTTGGTAAGTTTTGTTTTAGTTATATTTTTGTTAATATGTTCAGAAAGCCTTCAGGCTGAAATAACTAATAAATACAAATCATTATAATGAGTTCATGTTTTAAATTTCTCAGTAGAAAACAGCTTGTCAGTGAACAATTGCCCAAGGAGAAGATGGTTGCATTAATGTTCTCTCAAAATGAGAGCAAATGTAGCAAAACACTCTGTGAAATGAAAAAAATAGATGAGCATTACCATACCTAAGAAATGCCGGGAACATATTGCACTTTGATGGTGTTTTTTCTTCTGGGTTACACTGTTCAGGAGGACTAAGATCCCAAACTACTGATGCAGTGCTCAACTCTGAACAGACTCTTCTAGGGGTTTGTGAAACCTCTAAACGTCTCGGCTCAATTTTTATTTTAAAAAATGTTTTAAACCACTTTTCTGCAAAATAAAATGAAATACCTCCTACTCTCATGAGAGAAAACAATCCTGCAAATTTTAGGAGGCTTAGATGTTCTCCCAGCTATAAAATTTTCTGCAATGATCTTCTGATTCCAGTTTGTTCCCTTCTTTGTTATGTTTTCTGTGCTCTTCAGACCCTTCCCTATTACTCATACATCTGAATTAGTGAGGTAGACAGTGTAAGAACAAAATAACAAAATTGTTTCAAACTAGTATTAATTATGAGACTGTTTTGCTACAGAATATGAATGGTAAAGTTGGGAAGATAGTGACCCTTACTGTTGTCTTACAGGAATGTCAGCTCTGCTGGAGAGGAGGCCCGCAGGAGAATGAGGGAGTGTGATGGACTTACTGATGCATTGCTGTATGTGATTCAGTCTGCTCTGGGGAGCAGTGAAATTGATAGCAAGGTTTGTCATCTTTGTCTTTTCAGAAATGGAAAAGCCAGGTACTAAAGATACGTCAGGAATAAAAAGAAAAAAAAAAGGCTTGGGGGGGATGTAATATTGCCACAGAGCTAAATATGCTCGTTAATCACTTCACTTTTAACTTTCTATATATTGGGCTGAGTTTCTTTATACTAGGTATGGCTGCCCTGGAATTCTGTTTTTATTTGAAATGTGTAGAGTTTGTTTTGTTTTGTTTTGTTTTCTTTCTTTCTCTCTCTCTCTCTGTTTTTTTGGTAAATGATTAGAAAACAAAATAGTTGATAACAGTGATTTGAGAGAGGCACACATGTTGATGTTCATGCTTTCCCACATTGCTCTGCCAGTTAATCATAAAAGTGATTGTCCATTCTAGTGTCACTCCAGTTATGAGCTACAGCTAATAGCTATATGGAGGTTCAAAATGTGTGTAGTGAAGAACTATAGCAGTTGCTACTATAAATGGAGCATTGCAAATCAGTATAAAGATACCTATGGTCATGTGTAGATGGCATAAGGCATGTGTGCACAACACTTTAAAGTGGGCTAAATGCTTTTGCATGACTTTAATGGTGTTGGTGTTTGCACTCCTCTGTAGCGTATTGTGCATTAATTCCATCCACTGTAGGAAATTCGGTGGTGTAAGGTGCCTTAAATGACTTAGAGCGCAACAGACTAAAATTCCTTTGAGGGAATTTTAGTTTGCTGCCCCTACAGCTGCAGAGCAAAGCACCAGGCTCCATGCAGCTCCATGGCTCTGCAGGAAGCCCTGCAGGCAGCCTGGCAGCAGCCCGGGAAAGCAGGCTCCACCCAAGAAAAGTGGCGAGCCTGATCTCCTCCCTTCCCCCTCCCCACAGCCTGCTTGCCTGCCTGAGCTGTGTTGGGGCCTGGTGCTTCCCTCTGTGGCTGCGGTGCCCCCCAGGACTGCCCAAGCCAGGTGCCTGCCGGTGGGTGCCGCCTAGGGCTGCTGCCATGGAGGGAAGCACTGCCCCCCACCTGCAGCCCAGGGACCACTCCTCCCACTGGCAGCTCACCCACCCCTCCCCACGAGAGAGGCAGGTAAGTCAGTGGGTTGTGTGCACAGCATGGGAATTTAATCAGCCTTAAATTGAAGCGGTGTTTTTTAAACCCTATGTCATTTCCTAGTCTAAGTAGACAGTAGAATTGTGGTTACCTGTATATGATAAATATTTGTTAATGATATGTTCTATTAACAACAACTACTGTGGGTTAACATAAGACTTTCTGTTTTATTTTAGAATATACAGTAACAAGGGTATGAGTTTCTTAGATGAAAAGCAGCCCTTAATAATTAAAGGATCTCCAAATATTTACAAATTGAAGGCTTTATCATTGTCAAGTCAGTATTACAGCAGGGAAGAAAGTGGTTCATATTCCTAGATATGAAGCTTTTTAATTTTCCATGTCTTCAGAGATAGTTACTATCCATGACTTAAGCACAAGCATTAGCACAGATATGCCAGTTTTACTTGACAATTTTTTCAAATACATTTCACAGTAAGGGCATGCTGCAAAGTGCTTATAACAAGACCTCTATAATTTTCAGGTTCTTAGCCTCAACAAAAGGGGAGGGGCTTTCCTGTAGAATTACTAGATGCACAGAATATTTAAAAGAAATCATGTTCCACACAGACTTTTATTCATGTCACCCTGATGGGAATCGCTTACAGAAAGATAATGTATAATGTGAAAATCTACAATTAATTATCCATTAGTAGAGGCTTTATTGGCAGTAATTAGTGAAAGAAGCCCAGTCTACCAGGCATGCAGCATAGTCTGGAACAGTCTTCAGAGAAAATCCGGCTGCTGTCATGTTGCCAGCAATTCCCAACCCTTTCCTGCTGTGTCCTGCAGCACTTAACCTGGGATGATGGGGGTATTTTTAACTTCATTTTTTGGAAAGGAGTTGAATCAGGGGTGTTTCAAAGCTCTCTGATTCAGCCTGTGTAACAGAAAGTAAAAGTTAGGGGGTTTCAATGAGACACAGTGTTAGGAGAAGTAAGAGAGAATACAGAAGGGGAGGAAGTCTGTCATTTGTAGACTCCTTTTCATAGCTCAGATACTGATTTTTCAGCATTTTCTTTACAGGTGACTGAACAGGTGTCAGATTGTTTACTGTTAAAAGGGCTAAATAAGGAGCACAGTAAACTCCCATTTTTGTCTCTTATTGAAAATGGGGTCTACTCTATTTAGAGCAGGGGTGGGCAAAATATGGCCAGCGGGCCAGATCCAGCTTGCAGCGGGTCCCTCAGTTGTGCCTGGCCCAGGCACAGTCCACCTGTAGCACATCCTACCAACCCCTGGGCATGCAGCAGGGCTGGGGCAGCTCCACAGCTGGACTGCCTTTGTAGGTAACCCAGGTTGCAGGTGGCTTCTTCCAGCTGCTGCTGGCCCCAGGCTTGTGGTACTGGCGGGGACCTGAGCTGCACAGCCCTGACCCCATGCGCCCCATGCCTGCTCCAGGCTCACCTGCCCAGGCTCAGCAGAGGTAGCATAAGACAGAGGGTGTTGCTCAGTGGAAGGGGAAAGTGGCCCTGGCCTCTTCCCCTCCTGCTGCCAGCAGTTTCCTGCTGTCACTGCCATCTCTGGGCTGCCCTACACGTCAGTGGTGGCAATGCAGAGTAGACACAGAGCAGTCATGTGTGGATTCCAGGTGGCTTCAGCAGGGAAATGCCAACAGTGGGAGGGGGATGGCTGCTTTTCCCCCTTCTATAGCAGGGGAACGCTGCCACTGCTGAGCCTGGATGGGCAAACCCAGAGCAGGTGCAGGGTGCATGGGGTCAGGGATGTGCAGTGTGGGTCCCCACTGTTACTGTGGGCTGGGACTGACAGTGGCAGCTGAAGGAACCACCCCTGCCTGGGCTGCCTAGAAAGGCAGTCAAGCTGCAAAGCTGCTCCAGCCCTGCTGTGTGCCCAGGGGGTGGCAGGACATGCCATGGGTGAGCAGCATGGGGCAGGCCAGGTCAGGGCTGTGCCCAGTTCCCAGTGATCTGCTCCAGTGGGGTTGAGTCCAGAGTAGGCGTAGGGTGGGACTGGGGCTTTGCACTGCTGATAGTGGCAGGGAGGTGCTGCAGGGAGCACGGGCTCTGGGCTGTTGTGGGGTAGGGGTGGAGGCAGGTGCTGAATAGCTCAAGGCAGTGCACGCAAGGGGCTCCCATGCACACCCTACTATACCCACAACCACACCTTCTGCCACAAATAGTCACACACCCCACAAATACCGCACCCACCCACACCTTCCCCCTCTCAAACTCCACATGCACACACCCGTGTGCCCCTCGGGAGAACCCCACTCACTGGTACATGCACACACCCTGCTACACATTCACCAAAATCCCCCCATGGACACCCCACACACATCTCCATACACCCCATACCAACACACACACATATCCACACATCTCCACATACACTCCCCCCCATACCCACCCACCCTCCCTCACACACATACATCCATACACACACCCACAGCCCCCCATAAACCCCATACTCACCCCTCCATACGCCCCACCCCTCCACATTCCCCTAAAATATACAAGAGTAAGACCTAATTTTCAACTATTATGCTGTCGCCACTCAAACACACACAAACCAGGACAAAAATATTTAAAAAAAATAAAATTAATGTATGTTATTGTCAATGTTTGATTTTTAGCATACAATTTGTATTTTTTTCCAGTTCCAAGATGGCAAAACCCCTTACCAGAAGGAGTACTTCTGGGGTTAGGGGGCGGGACTTGTGGTGGAAAAGGTCAGGGATTAGGGAGTGGGGCTTCCAGGCCCAAGATGGCAACCAGAGGGCAGGGCAAGTGTCAAGGGGTGGGGCTGCCCTTGTGTCCCTTGACAGCTTGCCAAAGCTTGTTAAACAGCGCTCTACTGGAAATAATTACCCACCCCTGATTTCTTTATGACATACTGCAACCATAAGCACAGTGAGGTGAGCAAACAACAAGAGAATGGTTAGGTTAACCTGTTAGCCTCATTTTATTTTCCTCTGGGAGAAAGCTTTTGTCTAGCTAAATGCAAAAATGAATTCTTTGTGCTTCATGAATAACAACTTACACTCCAAAGCAAGGACGAATGATTTAAATCACTCAATATTTTTGCAACATTTCTTTAAAAAATGTGTGCTATTGGACATTTTAGATTATAACTTACTGATCATAATTGCTTTTTATTAAATGCCACTATCAGCAACGTATTCTGAAAGCTAAAAAGAAGAAAAAAAATTAAGGCCCTCATCTTCCAAACATGTAAATACAAAAACTTATTTACATGAGTAGTCCTAGCAACTTTCACAGAATTAGTCATGTTCTCTAAGTGAAACAGATCCATAAAGTATTTAATGCATTAGAGGGCTAACATTTAGATTTGCTGCTAAAAGCTTGTAATGTTAAAATCTTTGTTACTTCAAACTAAATTGATGAAGAGTTAAAAATAGAGAATTGTTTATGCTTTCAGTACATCAGCAAAGTTGCTGTGAGCACGTTTTATGCCTACATTCCAACTTTTTTTGTGTGCAAAATTAGAGCTGTAGAATTAAATTCCTGCATCTGTATTTTGGCAAGTAGCATTAGAAATTTCTAAATAATCTATATGACAAAGGAGCAAGGGTTTAATAGATTCCACACTGCAAAGCCTTGAGGAGGAATCCATTTCTGTTTTCTTGGCTTATGGAAGTTCTCTTTATTGGAAAATGGAGTTGGTTGTAAATATGCTAAAAGGTATTTGCCAGTTTGTTGTATGAGTTTGTGTTGTGTTCTCAATAAAAATGTAAATAAGAATGTGGGCTTGCCTTTTTCAAGCACACATGAAAATCTGGAGTGTAAAAATTTTCATTAGAAAATCTAAATGATACTAAAAATTAGAAAACAAATTAACAAATACAAAACATCTACTAAAAAGTTATGACTATAGAGCAAAAGTAAAAAATTATCAACATATACATAAAAATAGAATGACATTTCATAAAAATTACACCCCAGGGAATTATGCGCAGAAAAATTCAAAATGATGCACTGAGTCCTGGGGGTTGCATGTGGTGGCATGGAGCCAGCTTAGCCTTGCCCACTTATGCATGCCTTAGGGCCATACCAGATCGGCTCTGTGCCAGCACATAAGGCTTGCAACACTGCAAGAAGGAGCCATGTACCATTGGGCCAGCTGGACTCTGTGCCTCCATGTGGGACTTCCACCACTGCTGCAGGAAGCTGCATGTGGAAGCACAGAGTCACAAGCCATCAGACTGGCTAGAATGCTGCTAGAGTGCTGGAAGCCCCACATGCTGGCACAGAGCCAGCCTGGTCTGAGTCAAAGGTGCACACCATTGGGCTGGCCAGGCCAGCTTCATGCTGCCAGGTGCAGTCTCCAGGACTCAGCTGAAGCCGCGTGCAGCTGGGAGGCTCTTCCATGATGCGGCCCTGAGGTCCCACTGCCAGCAGCAGCAGGGACTGTGCACCATGCGGGGGGGAGGGGGTATGGTGGGGGAGCCCACACCCACCCTCAAAGCCCACACACACACTCACACCCACCTAAAAACCCCATACTTACCCATCGTCCTGCAGACAGGAGCTCCCGACTCACCAGTTGTCCAGTCATGCACCACCACGCTTGGTGCCCCCACATGGGATTCCCAGCTGAAGTGCTGGGAGCCTCCCAAAGGTGGAGGCACAGAGCCTGCCCCTATTAAGTTATGCAAAATGATGCAGTTATGCATGGTCATCCGTGGGCGCATAATCGCATAATTCCCTGGCTTGTAAAAATCACAGAGAAGTAGGGCTGGAAGAAACCTCCATAGGTAGGGACCTACTGAATTCATGGTGGAAGTGGGCTGTGCAGTAGCTTCTTTAATCTTGCAAGCTCCCCCTCCTTGCTGCGGGTCCCAGGTGGCCCTGCTACTTGCTGCCGACCAGTTGGGAGGCAAAAACGGCACCATATTTAAAATCACAGTATTCACCTCCCTGTGATCAGAAGTGAGCAGTGGAGCCCCTCCACCAATTGGCAGGGGTTGGGCAGGAGGTGCAGGGGAACCTGTAAAATTAAAGGAGCTGCCACGCAACCAACTTCCACCATGAATTTGATAGGTCCCTATCCATAGGTCATCTAGTCCAACCCCCTGTCTGAGGTAGGATTGTCCCTAAATAGATTTTAGAAAAGATGTATGTAAAGCTTTACTTCTAAAACTATTTTAGATTGTTATTTTTTGTCTGCTTGGTGCCAAAAAGAGTAAACGTAACATCAGCAGAGCTCACAAGGTTGAATCTGAAAGGGAAAGTAAAGCACATTTACTAAAAAGTACATAAATTATTCTGAAGGTTTCAAATGGATAAATTTAAAATTACAACTATATAGTTGAAGGAGATTTCAAGGGATTCTGCTTCCTAAGAATTGGGTTCAGTGTCTCCTCCAGAATCTCTGAGTCTCCTCCGGAAGCTGATATTACCCCAAACTGTTAGGAACAAATGCATGCTAGGTGCAAGTTGATATATACAATATATATATATTATGATATATACGATATATATATTATGGCATTGTAACTGTTTACAAGACTTATTTACAGCACTGCTGAATACAACACTTAAAGTGGAATGGAAGCTGCAGTTCCATCATGTTTGGGATTAACTAGACTATGTGCTAGACAAAAAAATTGTGACTTCTGTCTTTCTGATGATTTCTGTTCATTGTGCTGTTGCCTCATCCTTCCAACCTTCTCCCATCCCTGCCCTCCATTCCCCATTTGTCTGTTTTTTCCACTGTCATGTCCTACCTGTAGAGACCTACCTAAATTGTGGCAGAAGTTTGCAGCTCAGTGGCACCTATAATCTTTTCGCCATGCACCATCCCACCCTTGCCAGTGAGTGGCCAAGAGGCAATTAATGTGTCTTGGCCACTTAGCAGTGTGGGGAAGAGGATGTGCAGAGAAAAGAGCTATATTAAAAACAGTGCTGCACTTCAAACTTCTGCCATGATTTAAGTAGGTCCCTACCAATCTGTCATAGGGCCGTCTGAGGCAGAGGTTGTTGTCCGTCACTATTTCTCTGTGCCATACCTAACAAAATACAGCCCTGTTTCTTAATTTGGGCTTCTGAGTGTACTGTAATACAAATAATACTAATTATGATGATTAATTCACTGGGTTCACTATGAGTAATTTCTTCCTTCAAAGGCCTCTGAGCAAGAGTAGTTGTTTTGCCCCCAATATGCCAGCCTGATAGCTGGAAGTAGATTCAGAAATCTTACCTTCCACGAAAAGGATGAGTCAAAGACCTGTAGAACCTCAACATCACTTTTCCAAAGCCCCTTTATGTGGCAATGTGTAATAGCACCCTGAGTGAAGCTACATAAGTGATATCCATCCTTTGCATGTGCAAGTCCTCACTCAGTGAAATCATGTATTTTCCAAAATGCAGGACATCTCTGGGGAGGTAGGCTGGATTTTGGACTGTCAAAATAATTTTTCATTTAGAGATACATTTAAAAAGCATTTCAATTTCTCTTCCAGATAAAATAGTTTACCTATGCTTTTGATCTCTCAAAACATAAAGAATGTATCCTTCTCCACAGTCCAAAGCAGACTTATTTTAGCTAAAGTTTCCATGCCATGCTTTTCTGCACTTGGCCTTACTCCAGTTCTAGGTACCTGCCAGGACCAATCTGAGATGGGCCAAAAACACTTAAGATGTTCATCCTCACTGCAGATGCCAGAGGCATGGACAGGTTATCAGCATATTGCATTCTGAGCAAGAGCAGTTTGCATTCTGTGCTTGTTTGAGTCCTGTTTACAATATTTTTTTGCCTCTGCTCCTCTCTCTCACTTGCTTCATTGTGACACTCAGCAACAACTTTATTAAAAAAGATGGTTTAGAGTTCCACTTCTTCCATAAAAAGTAGTGTTACAATCCTGCCAAGTTTGCTAAAAGGTTTAAATGGTGGTTGTCTGGGGAGAGCTTAGAAAGAAGCAGAAAAAAAATACCTTTGGACAAATGCAAGCGCAAAGATTGATTACTTTAGTTTCTTCAATATACAGTTACCAAGGGAGAGCTTTTTAACCTTTCTCTCTTTGTTGTTCATTCTCCTTTTTAGACCGTTGAAAACTGTGTGTGCATTTTGAGGAACCTCTCATACAGGCTCGCTGCAGAAACATCTCAGGGACAGCAGATGGGAACAGATGAACTTGATGGATTACTGTGTGGTGATGCCAATGGCAAGGATGCAGAGAGTTCTGGGTGTTGGGGCAAGAAGAAGAAGAAAAAGAAATCCCAAGATCAGGTATGGAAGTGACTTGCAGCTGCCTGCAATTAGTATAAGTGTCTATCACTGATGCTTAGTATTAACTTTTATTGGATCAACTATATTACCAACAAACCTTTGATTCCCTGGAACATGACAGCTACAAAAATACTACAGCTCTACTGTCACTTATGTACAAAGACTTAATGTTATATATTTGTGAGCATGCAATACCTAATCTATAGCAAGGTTGCCTCAAATAATTTAGTGAGTTTTTCAAGCAGAGAATGGTTATGCAATAGTCACAGGTTGTGCATTTTCTTTAATAAATTGCACATTTACATAGTAACATCTGGACACTATAGTAATGGGGATATTATGAATAGCTGAATACAGTAGACTGCTTTGTAATCAATAATACATTATTTATTATTAAATGTGAAACTCTTGAAGTTCCAATATAATTTTCACCTTCTTTAAAACCATTTGGCACTGCCAGGCCTACGTAAAGGGGCCTCAATGTAACTGAAAATCCAGTTCATATATGTGGGTTTGGAGGGTTCTGTGGGCACAAGTTCTTTGTTGAAGAGAAGATTTCAGTTAGATACTCATTTATTCCACCACTTCCAGAAAGATCTGCCCTACAACTACCACAGCTTACAACCGATAAACCAGTTTTGTAAGGATATTTTCCTGAAACTGCTAGGCAACTTCCAGTAATATTATAATTACTTCTGTTTTCTGTTTGCAGTACTGCTGAATCTATGAGCAGGGACCAGAGGGGTAGGAAGAATACATTATTATCTGCCCCTCCACATCCTTAAGCTTTTATCCTAAATACAGATGTTCAAAGAAGCCTGAGGCGGAAGTGTTTTAAGTTTTACGCTTTACTCTAAGCACACCCTAGGTTAAATCAGGAGGGAACAGAACACATGTTCACCCCTTGGTTGTGGGGGGGTTTACAGGGCACCCACGCTGCCTGCACTGGCCAAGGCCAGAAGGTTAGAGGCAGACCTTCATGTGTCCCAGCAGGCTGCTGGAGAATGCCAAGCCCATGGAGAGCTGAGTGCAGCCCCAGCCCCCTGCCAGCAGCTGCCTGTCAGCTGTGGTGGGGTGGGGTGAGGTGGGGTGGGGTGTGGGAGCAGAGGCCCCTGCCATGTCCCCCAGACTCAAGCCAGCACAGATGGGGGCCCATATGGTGGGAGCTTCCATTCCCCCCAACATGCTGCCCAGCCTGGCTGACAGCCATAGGCAGGAAGCAAGGCTGCAAGTTGTGCCAGATCTCAGCCATGCTGAGCAGTGTGGGGGGAATGGAGGCCACCACTGCACAGACCCTCCTCAACTGTGCTGGCTGGAGACTTGGGGTCTCAGCCTTGCCTGCAGCCACTGCAGGCGCCTCTTGCCCCTGTGGGAGAGTGGGGAGCTGCACCCTGCTGCAGCCCCCACTTGCCTGCTTCCCTGCCCTCCCACTCTGATCTTGGCAGGCTCCTCTGCTCCCCTCCCAGTTCACCAGGCCAGCTGAAGAGCTGGGTTGGGTAGTCCAGAAGGCATCTCCAGGAGAAGCCTCCACTCCACCCACCAAGTGATGCTGTAGCTGCCACCACTGCTGCTACACTCAACACCATTCCCAAGCAGCCTGGAGTCTTGTTCACACAGCAGCAGCAACGACAGGTCAGGAGCAGCAGCAGCCATCACACCCAGCCCAGCTCCCCAGCCAAGGGCTCCCTCCAACTCCTCTTTGCTGTTGCTGCTTGGACATATCATGGGAAATTAATAAATAAATCACTTTACCCAGTGACAGAGAGGAACTGGCAGCAGTGGCAGCAGCATGATTAGATCCAGCCCACCTAGCCTGAGCGCTTAATCTCAGCAGGTGAAGTACTCGGCCCAGGTGAAGGGAGGGAGGAAGGAAGCTGAGACTTCTGCTTAGTCCTGCTGCTGCCTGGGAGAAGGGCTTTGGGGAATGAAGGGGGAAGCTCAACATCAGGCCCAGCATCTGCTTCAGGTTCCATCCCCCCACATGCAGCCTCCACCTGCTGCTGCTACTATTTGGACTGTACACTGTGCAGTGAGTCTCACCCAGACACACACATGAACGCGCGCACACACCCATCCTGGGGTGTGCATGCAGGGTGCAGCTGGGTGCCCCCCCAATCACACTGACAGCCCAGCCCACAGTGCCCACACACTGCTGGCATGGGAGGGGCATGGATACACACACACACACACACTGATTACCCTCCAGCCCACTAGCACTGTGACCCTGTACACCCAGCCCACCCCCCCGCTCTTCAGCACTGCGCTCACTCCTCAGGGCACCTAATGGACATGCGTGTGTGTGTATGTGTTGGCAGGGGGGATGCTTGTTCTTGCTATTATAACTAAGCCTCCCCCACACTGTGCAGCTGCCACTAACAGCTATGAGAGCCTGCTCAGCCAGAGCAGACAACAATGGGCCAAAGCTAGCGTGCCGCCCTGTGAGGGGGAGTTAGCAGGGACCTGCAAAGCAGCCTAGGAGGCCAAGGGAACGTGACCTAACTTGAGTCTCTAGAGGGTCTGGTACAGAATTTTGATAGACTTGTCTAACCTAAATTGATAAAGTCTGATGCTACATCCATCCAAGTCTAAGACTGGGTTCTGCCATTTTTAAACCAGTCTATGTGCGCCAAACGTCTGTACTGTTGTGGTTTTCAGTCACTTATACTGGTTTGTGTGTATACCTGGCTTTAGTTGTGGAAGTGGTAGGTGCAGGACTGGCACATCACTTTACAGCATAGTTCCTGAGAGCAAAAGTTTGAAGGCTGTCCTTCAAAGATCTTCTGTCCAATTGATTATAGTCTCCTGTCTGTACTTATTTTATCTGAAATGAGTTGTAATTCAGGAATAAATGGTCCACGTAGTGCATGAGGATAGCTGTTGGAAGTAGGTAAGCACTTACATCTTTGCACACTCTGTTAAAAGATAACCTCTAAATGCTGAGAGAATACAAAAAGAACTGTGCTTAAACAGGGGATCAAACTGGGAAAAGTCTCCAGTTCATTTCAACATAGTTTAACAAACAACATTATTGACACATGATTAAAAAGAGGTGTTGGTCATTCATTTTGCCTATATTATTTAAGTTGCTGCCATTTATGTTTTAATTAGTTAAATTTAAAATGTGTTTATCTTATCTCCTGCTTTTTCTTCATTGAATTTCCCTCGAGAATACATTACATGTCTGTAAATGTGAAAAGAGCTGACAGAATGCTATTACTGTAAAGCTCTTTTCATATTCCTTGTGCTTAAAGTTGCTGCTGGACACTGTAGTGATACAGTACAAATGCTTAGTGGAATATGAAATTTTAAAAACTATGTATGATGGTTTCAGGCAGTTTCTTTCACCTCCCTTTCAGAATGGTCCTACCTGCTTTAACCACTTATTCAAGTTTTAAAAGGTCCAGTACAGAACACATTACAGTAAAATTGAGTTCGTCACACAATATAATTGTTTTAAAAAGTAAATTATTTAAATGGAGGCTATAAAGGTAAGTCATACTGATGTGCAGTAACTCAGAAACATTAACAGTCCATATTCTTTACTATTTTTACTATCTGATGGATCAAGTTCAGACATTAGGAAACAGCAAAAGAAAAGTCTAATGGCAGAGTTCTAAATTCACTTGCACAGTTGCAGTACAGTACTGTAATAAACAACTTTTTTTAGTATTGTCATTTGTCAGGGGTTTTCTTCTCTGTGCTATAGTATATTGTAGTAAAAATTACAACACATGAAAATACAGGTGATGTGAGTCACCTGATACCATCTACATTCTATAGCAGTTTTATTCAGACTAAGCAGCATTCTTGTCTGACAGTTGTATGTGGTGAAAGTATGTTTTGATACTGTACAAAAAATCTTACTGTTCTTCCACTCATGCCATTCCTGAATGGCTTAAACACTGTAAATTAAGGATGAAGTAAAAAGCCTTAGTTTTAAACTTCCTGCCCTATGTGACCTTCTGAGGTCCCTTCCGGGTCTACTTTTCTATGATTTTGGCATTAGAAAGACAGAGGTGAACCTCTTATCATTTTAGCATGGGTTTGTGTGCTTTATTTCCTTTGGCCTCCTTAAGAAAGAGTTAAACCCCACAGAAGAGTAATCCAGAAAAAACTATAATCTGCACAGAGAGCTGCCTAGAGTTAGCCAATAGGAAATGTTAAGCACAAGAGTATATCCAAACTGCAGGCCTTCTTTAGAAGCTAGGCATCAGAGTCAGGGCTGCTGCAAGGGAGTTGCCTCCATTGACATGGGATATAGAACCCAGAGGTCTCTCCTGAAGAAAAGGGACCTAGCGTATGTCAAAAAATGTTTATACTGGGCTGGGGATTTCAGAATTATTTTAGTGACTTAGAAGCACAGGTCCTACTGAAAGGCAACAAAATTTAAACCAGTAGGTACCTTAGGCAGTTTTGAAAATCCCTCCTGACATGCAGTGCAATGTGACTTTTGCACACAGGTTAACTAGAAAGCTCATACTTCAGACTTTTAGTTGTTGACTTCCTTTGCGTATGACTGTAAGTATATGTAAATCCTTTGCATTCCTGTACTAATGGAACCACAAAGTTGCAACCCCATTTACAGGGGTGAAATTTTGTCCTTTTACATCACCAGTAAATTTGACCTACAGCCCGTAACAGTGTATTCTAACTCTGTATTATTCTTATTGTAAGAACTCAAGAAAGAAACTGAAAATTCAGTTTAATACCATGATTTTTTTTCACAGTAGTCCAACTTACAATGCCTGGTAAGTACATAGGTTTCAAATAGGCATCTCAATGTCATATTATATCTCAAGCCAAAGACTTTATTGCAAATATAAGGAGAAGTTATATTTGTATTGAATTGAGATGGAAAATTCAATATGATGTTGTGGCTACTAACCTTTCATATGCCCAGAGCTCCAGTTTTATTTATTTATAGTATATTTCTTTTTCATCTGAAAGAATCTTAAATGCTGTGCAGACACTCAACTGCTGTACATTGGTGTAACTCCATG